AAAGATAGTTACTCATGTATGTATACAAATTATACGTTGATGTGAATTAAAAAGATACTTTAGAACGACGAAAAACTGTTTTAGGTATTGCACGTTTATAAATAGATGCATGTTAATAATATATTGAATTGATCTGTTGAATACTGTACATTTCACAAAGTTTTGCTGAAGAAAACGTCTGTTATAGTAATCACTTAAAATCTTTAATGCTTATATCAAATATAAAGAGTGCTTTAAAATAATAGTTTACCATTCTTTTCAAGGCCCCAATATCAAGGATTCCGTTGCATTTCCAACCAAGGACAGTATATTGGGTCAACGGGCGACACGCGTGATAACAAAGAAGATGCACACATTAAAATTAAGTTAATTTTGTTGAAATGCTATGCATTAAAAAAGCCAAATTTTGATTTTGTTTAGTCAAGAATTGTGATATTGATGTATTGAAATTTTTTAGTCAATATATGTAATAAAGAAATAAAGAATTTTATATCAGGCCGTCGGATCAAATCATCTTGATGGATTACAGGACAAGTAAATCAGAAGGTCTTGGTTCCATTTTACTCCAACGGATCCATTTTTCGCCTTTTATGTAGACTTGGTGTTTTGTCCTTCCCATGGATGTGATACATAAAGAACCTGACAGATTAAAAAGACATGTTATGGTTTTTCCTTACAATATCGCTAAAAATGTACCCTTTTTTGCCCCACCCCTCCCCCCAAAAAATAACGAGATAATGAAAATCTTAATTGCTCATGTGATTGCTTGTTTGTTGTTCAACGTTCCTTTTGTGAGTTTTACACCCATATGGAGACACCACCACTTTTCAGGTGGAGAATTACAAACCTTTTCTTGGCACTCAAGGCCATTGATTGTTCTGAGGAAATCTTTTCGTGCAAAATCTACTGGATCACAATTTTTACACGGTATACATGGAAGGACGAGCTTCATTGTTACAGAGGGGATTTGAACCCGTTACGTAATGCTCACCCCCTTAATCCGCGACTTTATAGCAGATTCTCTAAGCACTGCCCCACGCAGATAAAATAAATAAAATTAAATCTGCATTGTAATGATCTTTAGAATAATCAATTTTTGTATCATCGATGAAAATGAATAGTACAAAACAAATTAATTTGGTATTTGTTTTTATTTTGGTATTCGTTATTCAGTTATTTCACATCTTTGTGCAATCAGTTATATATTCAAAATTGTAAAATTATGTCTCAAAGGGGGACAGTTATAGCAGAAGTAAATTCAAAGTTATCTAAAACTATCAAATTAATTGTAGGGGAAAAAGAGAATAAACCGGTACAAAAAACTATTATCTTGAATCATCGATGCCTTGCAACGCAATTAACAACATACTGTATAGCAATTAGTCTTTACATGCTGCGTTTTAAAGCAACAAATATTTTCAAGAAAAGATGTCCACATCATTTTAATAGCAAGGTATCGGCAGGTCTAACTATTTCAAATAAACTACTATACGCAGGTGGAGGTTCATCTGGCCAGTCTTGGAAACCATCACCTGGGTATTCTGCAGGGACAAATTGTTCCACATATTGTTCTTCTTGTTCTGTATAAGGGGGACAAGGGGGATATATAGGTAAATTTCTCGATTCTTCATCATATTGATTTAGGTCGAATGGTTCCATATGTTGTACTTCATCTTCTAAGTATAGAGAAGACCTTGGTGCTTCTGATGAATCACTACATTCTCCCTCATATCGATCTAAATCGCAATGGTCTGTAGGTAACAACCCATGTATAACAGAATCTGAGGATGTTTCTCCCCTTACTTGTCTTGATGCATAATATCCTAAAAAATGTTTTTTAAATACGTATGTAAGTAAATCCTATGATAATAATTAATTTGAAATAAATAAAGATGGGATAGAAAAAAATTAGTAAATTGGGATACCATGTACGACTGCATCTAACAATGTCGGCGACATATGGGCATTTGATTCCCTAGCAGATGCTTGGTTAACTGAAATAAAAATGAATAAAAGTTTTCAAGCTCTTTGATACTGTTTAAAAAGAAACAAATTACTTTTTAGAATTAAATACTAGCAAAGTCTAAATGACATACCATTTAAAACACCATCTGATATCCTTGCTATTGATCTGTTAAACTCGGGTTGCCTTGTTATATGATCAGCTTAAAAATATGAGCGGAAAATGAAACATTATCTCTGCAAAGACTTCAATAGCAATGATCAAATCAAATCAAAGATTAAAAAAAAACTTTTTTCGGGAAGAAGGAAATGTTACGAAAAAGAACAGCGATTATGATAAAAGTCAAGTAGAACAAGATAAAATGCGCATACTGGGCAAACACGCACCTCTGAAACAATATATGGTAAGATAAGGTGCCAGGGTTCTCCATGAGCTGTTTTACTGTATAGCTCCCGACACAGTAAAATTTTCTCCGACACAGTAACGATTCAAATTTCATGCATGCCACACAGTAAAAATTTTGCGAACACAGTAAGAGTTGTGATAATTAGAAAATCTAAAAACACAAATTCTCTCTAACTGAAACTTTAAATAAACAATTCTACCGTCTTTCAATTCAAAAAGTTATAACACTTAATCACTAGGGCTTCAACTTGAGTAATCAATTATCTACTAGGCCCTCGCCGGACTTTACGCATGATGAAGCAAGACAAATTGTTTTCACAACTCAATGTACCGGTTAATTGGTAGTTGCAATAAAAAACATTGCATTATTTATGAAAAATATTTAAATGAGTCTTTCCTATAGAGCCAGGGCTCAAGCATTATGTAAGCACTTGGAGTCAAACATAACATTGTACCGAAGTCATTTAATTTATGTAAATATAAATTGCCGAAAATTTTTAAATTTCAGCATGTTCAAGGAACTCTTTAAAATATTTTATTGCCATGAAGTTCCTTTTATGTAATGCGATAACTCGATCAAGGAACCTGATTAATAAATAGGGCAAATCTACTTTCAAAAATGTTCAGTAGTTTGACTATCATTCAGAATTTCCTCTTCTTGTAAGAACGTTTTTTACTTGTATCAGTATGTACCATCCATTTGTGTAACGAATTAGCGATTTTTAAATAAGTGTGCTTGTAATCTTTTGTAATTATAATGAATTGTGATTCAGTTCTGAATTTGTTCGCGAAAATACCGCGAAATATTAGTGCTTCGCGTAAACTTTGCAACACAGTAAAATCTCAAATAATGGAGAACCCTGAGGTGCTATGGAGGAGTAAGCATTCCCTGCAAACTCGCCCCTTCCCATGTGTGCTTTTTCATGATCGATAAATAATAAATATTGGAATTCTTAAACCTTTTGTAATCATCATTTTATTTGCAAACTTATTTGTCAATTTCCTAACTTTTTTGAATAACGTGTACATAGAGCATGCTCTTGTGTATGTTGGGAATAGTGGAACATTTGTTTATACATGTACGGCAGTTGACGCTAGTAAAGTTGAAATTATAGCATTTTGCATGAAGTTAACTTGAGACTTTGCAGTTAATATGTCTTAATCTTTTGATAATCTAAATATGTATAAGTTGTCAGACACTTTGGTGTCTTATACATCGAGTTCGATCTGTGGGATACACGCATATCGAGTCAACGTAGAATTGAAAAGGAATTATTGATAAATCGTTGTTCCTATAAAACATTTTGAATTAAGTCCACTTGCTTTTATGTTAAAGTTATTTATTCTGAGTCTTAAGAATATAAGATCATTTCTTCCCATAACAGGGTATACATATTTACCCGAGGGAATCCAAAATTATCTGAATTATCCAAAAAGACCTGATTTCACAAGGTTACATTAATGTTATTAATAATAAACATAATCATCTTTGATCTTTTTATAATAAACTTTTTTGTAGAATCAGAATGTGTAAATAAACTAGAGTTTTTCTGATGACCAATGGCAAAATGTAAATTTAATTTCAGTTTTAGTTAGGAAGTAGTTTGCCATGATGTTGACGTCAAAAATCAGGTTTTCTTGTATAAATTTGGGTAGCTCTCAGTATTGATTTATTGAATTAAAATACCTGAAAATGTATTAATATTTTGGTTGTATCGTGTCTTCGTTCTTTTCTTGCATCCATACTTTTTAACACAAGCTATGACGATGCATATAAAAAGTAAAATATGCGCACCTACGGCGGTAACACCAATAATTGTAATGGAATCCCTACAAAATAAAAGGACGGATATTTTGTACACTTCTGGCGAAAAAATTGCAATATAGCTATAACTTTTTTCACGTATTTCTTGTGAATGCTTCTCTTTGAAAAAAACATAGATTCAGAGCTTTTTTTCTTGTCAACTTGTTGAGAGAGAGAGAGAGAGAGAGAGAGAGAGAGAGAGAGAGATTTACCCAACTGCCATCACAGAGGATTGCTTAAGCTGTTTTCACAACTCCAAACCTTGTACCAATTGACCATTTTATCTTTCAAATGCAATCTACAACAGAAAGATATTTTTTTCAGTCGGGTATACAGGACAGGTATTTATTATGAAGTCGATGATTATATAAAATAACTTTGAATATTGTTTTAAAACAGGAACGCTTCTTTAAAATTTTAATAAAATAGACAATGATTGAAGCTTTTTTTTTTAAAGTATGACCTTGCCCGAATATTAAGCATTAAAAAAGTCTTAAAGGAACAAAAAGAGTTGATTTTGATCTTTCACCATTTTGTCAGAAGGTTTTTTCTTCATTGAGATTCACAATATAAAGCTCCATATGTATTAATATAAAGAAAACCTGTTATTTACATAGACTACATTGTGCAGTTCTTTATTCTCACCTTGATCTTGAGCATTTGGACTTCAAAATCTAAAAGGTTCTTTTTGGAGTCAGAATAAATTGGGATGTAAAATTATATAAGAAAAGGCTGAAAAGGGATTTATCATCAGAGAACCGTAAATGAATGTAATAACGTTAAACTAAATACATGTGTTTCTTATGTGACAGCGACGGTTTTGAAAAGGGGACCTTATTAAAAACACTTACAAGCCAAAACGAGGGAAACTTGTCCATACACTAAAATTCTATATCGGGGCCGGGGTAGGGTTGCAGAGTGGTGGAGGGGATTATGATCGAGTATTTTTCAGTACTTATTTCTTCTAACTAAATCACCCTAAATTGACCTTACTGTAACAAAAACGGAACCAAACGGCCTTTCAATGAACATTTTTAATAATGTAAAGTTACACCTCATTTCATGCTACGTGTCTGCGTCATTAATAACTATGGTACATAATGTCCTTACAAATGCTCAATTACATTTACAGTTACATATGTATAATCTGGAAACCATTTTTTTTGCAAAAAAACTTGATGACTTGATCTGAGACTCAATATAGCTAGCTAAAGGTTGCTAGATCTGTTCTAATCATTCATTTAAGGACCTTACGAACACTTTTATGACATATACACTGGAAACCTAAGTGTAATACACAGATGAAATACCATACCAGACAATATAACTGCAAAATATTAAATCCATACCTCATGATAAAAAACGTGACAGACGGACCATCAGATAGAAGGACAGACAAACAAATGACTGGTACACAAACAAACGTCAATTAAGTGGATCTCTTACAGTCGCTCTGAAAGTGACATAGAGAAGTGTACATGTTAAAAAGACAAGGATAAACATACACCACTTATGCAGAAAAGTGCGAAATAAAAGGAACCACTCAAGCATGAACCATATGTAAACAAGCTTAATATATCTTGTTGATTTAAAAAAAAAAAACTAATGCATTTTGTTAGCTCCTGGGTATTTAAAGTTACGCAGGTGAGCCAAGGATAGGTATAGTTGTTCCTAATATGCAAATGAGCTTTAAAACTTTAAAAATACATAATTTATGATGCATATCTTTTACGCAAAGAAAGTTAACGTTCAAATTTATCTTCCTATACGTAGTACGTAGCCATATGATCTGATAGAGTTTTAAAACATATAAACTTATATTCAAATATATAAATATAAACAAAAATAATACATGTCAGCGCATTGACATATTGGATTTAAAATGAATATTTCATAAAACTAAGAAGAATATTCCTAAAATGATAAAAGTACTGCACTTTCTTAATTGATAAAAAGTGGAGGTTACTTCTACCGTATTTTTACAATTTAACAAATATTAGCTTAAAAATGGCATTGTTAACATTTGTGCAGCAATATGATAACTCTTTGAAATATCCTTTTAATTTAAGACATTGTTTTAGTTAAAAAATGTAAGATATGTCACACCTATTTTGATGATATTTCTTATTAACTTGTCTTAGAGGAGAATTTTGTTTGGATGAACAGGAAGACTTCACTAAGATTATTGACTGCAGTAAGTATATAAACAAGAGGCCCATGGGCCGCATCGCTCACCTGAGCACTGTAGCTATAGAAAAGCAGAATTGGTTTATACTTGAAAAGCTTAAATCCAAGAGAAGTCCCATGACCAATCATGGCTTTGTTATTCTTGAGAAGATTTTTAAAGAATTTTCCTATGCATTTCTATGTAAAACTTTGGTCGGCCATTTTGACCCCACCCTACCCCTGGGGGTCATGATTTGAATAAACTAAAATCTACACTACCTGAAGATGCTTTCAAATAAATATGATCAATTATGGTTTTGCTATTCTTGAGAAGAAGATTTTTAACAGATTTCCCCATATATTTCTATGTAAAACTTTGGTCGGCCATTTTGCCCCGCCCTACCCCTGGGGGTCATGATTTGAACAAACTTGAATCTAAACTACTTGAAGATGCTTCCATATAAATATGATCAATCATGGCATTGCTATTCCTGAGAAGAAGATTTTTAAAGAATTTTCCTATATATTTCTATGTAAAACCTTGGTCGGCCATTTTGGCCCGACCCTACCCCTGGGGGTCATGATTTGAACAAACTTAAATCTACACTACCTTAGTATGCTTCCATATAAATATGATCAATTATGTCTTTGCTATTCTTGAGAAGAAGATTTTTAACAGATTTCCCTATATATTTCTATGTAATACTATGGTCGGCCATTTTGGCCCCGCCCTAACCCTGGGGGTCATGATTTGAACAAATTTGAATCTGCACTACCTGAGGATGCTTCCATATAAATATGATCAATTATGTCTTTGCTATTCTTCAGAAGAAGATTTTGAAAGAATTTTCCTATATATTTCTATGTAATACTTTGGTCGGCCACTTTGGCCCCACCCTACCCCTGGGGGTCATGATTTGAACAAACTAGAATCTACATTACCTGAGGATGCTTCCATATAAATATGATCAATTATTTCTATGCTATTCTTGAGAAGAAGATTTTTAAAGAATTTTCCTATATATTTCTATGTAATACTTCGGTCGGCCATTTTGGCCCCACCCTAACCCTGGGGGTCATGATTTGAACAAATTTGAATCTACACTACTTGAGGATGATTCCACATAAATATGATCAATTATTGCTTTGATATTCTTTAGAAGAAGATTTTGAAAGAATTTTCCTATATATTTCTATGTAATACTTTGGTCGGCCATTTTGGCCCCACCCTACCCCTGGGGGTCATGATTTGAACAAACTTGAATCTACATTACCTGGGGATGCTTCCATATAAATATGATCAATCATGGCATTCCAGTTCTTGAAAAGAAGATTTTAAAAGAATTTTCCTATATATTTCTATGTAATACTTTGGTCGGCCATTTTGGCCCCACCCTACCCCTGGGGGTCATGATTTGAACAAACTTAAATCTACACTATCTGAGGATGCTTCCATATAAAAATGATCAATCATGGCATTCCTATTCTTGAGAAGAAGATTTTTAAAGAATTTTCCTATACATATCTATGTAATATTTTGGTCGGCCATTTTGGCCCCGCCCTAACCCTGGGGGTCATGATTTGAACAAATTTGAATCTGCACTACCTGAGGATGCTTCCATATAAATATGATCAATCATGGGTTTGCTATTCTTGAAAAAAAGATTTTTAAAGAATTTTTCCTATACATTTCTATGTAAAACTTTGGTCAGCCATTTTGGCCCCGCCCTACCCCCGGGGGTCATGATTTGAAAAAAATTGAATCTACACTACCTGAGGATGTTTCCCCATAAGTTTCCTCTTTCCTGGCACAGTGGTTCTTGAGTAGAAGATTTTTAAAACATGCCACCAAATTTTCATTTATTCCAAATTATTTCCCCTTGTATGAGAATGTAGCCCTTCATTTAAGGATGAATTCTTCTGATCAATTTACCCCAAGTGGGTCTTCGTACTTAGACATGTCGTAAAATTTAAACTGATAACAATTTACAAACAAGTTTTTAAAGTTTTTATGATTTATATATTTAACTATATTTATTTTCAAATAAAAAATCTTTCTATGTTGTATTAATGACCAACACGTGTGCAAAATTACGATATTTACGACATAGGCCTAAGAAAGTCGACACGTGAAATCGACATGATCGAGAGGACTCAAGAAGACGGGATCGCCCGTTTCAAAGCGACAGGAATGCCGAATGGCACTCCATGAAAAGGGCCAACCGACAGAAATATTAAAACATTAAAAAAATGTCGAGATCGCAATTAAGCCTAGAGGAACATTCTCGAAATCGGTACCCAAACATGCCAGCTAAGAGCGCCGGTGTGTGTTGCAGTAGCAGTGGAAAAGCGAAAATGTAGGTTTACAATGCTTTCAAACTTATTGAAAATAGAAATGTTTATGTGTTATAGATACAAAGGTTTCAAAATACATAGTATACTGTCACATCGCAAACTCAAACATAGCATAAACTTGTTACATGTACGTAGCATTTGGCCTAAGGTCTCCAGAGGCGTGCAGACGATAACATTCGTATTATCATTTTTATTGCAACTTAGCTTTTAGTATATGATAAATTACCTTGGATATTGTAAATGCAGAATCTCTATCTCAAATTTATAGACATCCTACCGTAAGAAAAGAATAAGACTTCTATAATTTTTAGCTGTTATCATTCGGTAAGAAACTAGGTCGCTTCATTCTATGGCGGCCTATGCGGGTTAAAAAATGGAATATTTCTGAAACATCATGGAACATGTATTAATTGTTTTAGTCTAAACTACAGGCCTGGGTTCATAAAAACAAAGTCAGATAGACAAAATAATGATTTAACATTTTTTGAACAATGATATTACCAGTTAATTATAATCTAATTTTTTCTAAAATTAATTTTTACAGGTATGTCTTGTTTTCACATAAATCACTAATGGAGGCCTTTAGAAGAGAGCAGGGTTTAAGAACCCCTAAAATTAAATGGAGAAAATCATGAAAATCAGATTGAGAAAGTGGGACTGGATTTGACTAATCCCTGTGAAGCCACCACCCAACACCACAAACCAGGATCCAATCTGGAACCCCCAGGGCAAGAGAAAGAGAGGACATCCAACAGACTATTATGAAGTTTTATGTGTTAATTGATTACTTTTTGTTCTTAAAAATCTTTTCTTAACAAAATTGCAATTATTACCTGAAATTATGGCACTGATTTTGAATATTTGGTGAATAAAACACATACTTTGACGCCGAAATGCCTTAATTTATTTTCATTAAATGCTGAAAAAGATACAGGGGTGGGGATATAAAAAATATCAAAACTGTCTTATATGTGCACTAACCCCTACTTTTCATGCTATGAAAAGAAGCCATAATACCTAAAGAAACTGTATAACAATTTTCTTAAAAAGTTTAATTGTAGAAATATGTTTTTCTTTGGTTTTTCGAGCAATTTCATAGGGAAAAATATGCCTAATTTTGACATGGGGTGAGCAACATTTTTGGGTACAAGTTATCTAATTGGTATTTATTTGCTCGTATTTTGCTTTAAAAATCAACTTTGCAATACTTTCAAGTAAATTTAAGCCAAATTAAGTTTTAATTCACTGTATTTATAAGTTTTATGAGGTATTTTATGGTCTAGTAGCATTTTTTAAGGAAATTTCCCATGCTCTATTTGGCCTATGTTCAAAGGGTTGAACCTCTCTTAGATGATCACTAACATACACTTTTCTTGTCTTTAAATTATTCCTTGGATATTACACTTTCAGAGAAATATAAGCATGTGGAAAGTTTAATGCACGTTTTTTTCCGTGTATCAGAAGAATGCATCCTTAAACAAACTTGAATCCCCTTCTTCCAAGAATACTTTGTGGCAAGTTTGGTTGAAATTGGCCCAGCAGTTCTTGAGAAGTCGAAAATGTGAAAAGTTTACAGACAGACGGACAGACAGACAGACGGACAGCCAGACGGACGGACGGACGGACGCCGGACAAAATGTGATCAGAAAAGATCACTTGAGCCTTCGGCTCAGGTGAGCTAAAAAAGAGATTCATGGGCAACATCGCCATAGAGAATGGCTTTGAACATGCAGTTCTTTACCAGATTTCCCCTTTTTTATACCTTGTGTGGCCCCACCTTACCCTACGGGTCATAATATGAATTTACACTACCCCAAGATTTTTTTGCATAGGTTTCATTTTTTTCTGGCCCAGTTGTTCCCAGAAGAAGATTTTTTCCCTATATATTTTAAAGTAATATTTAGGTTCCCTTTTGTGGGGCTGCCCTTCCCCCGGATGTCATGATTTTTACATTTTAAAATCTACACTACTCCAAGATGCTTTCACATAAGTTTCAGCTTTTCTGACTTAGTCGTTCTTGATAAAAAGATTTTTAAAGTGTATTCCTATATATTTCTATATAAAACCTCTATTCCCTTTTGTGGCCCCGCCCACCCACTTTGGGTCATAGTTTGTTTTTAATTTAAAATCAACACTTCCCCAGGATGCTTCCACATAAGTTTCAGTGTATCATGCAAAGTAGTTCTTGAGAAGAATATTTTAAAATTGTTTTCTTAAATATTTCTTTGTAACACTTTGGCAATTAACTACATATGTAAATGCACAGGTATAGTTTATGTGCCCCATTCTGACTCAAGATGGCCAAAATTTGTCGGCATGTTCTTTTTATCTAAGAACATTTAAGCATATACATTATATGTCGAATTCAGCGAAACCTTTTTTAGGAGTGTATAAAAATTAATTATGCTTTGAAAGAGAAAATACCAAACAAACAAGAACAAACAAACCAAAAAAAGTGTCAGCCCATGTTAGCCAGTCAGTAGGGAGAGAAAGGCAATTAAATTCTTCAAGATGTCATTGGTTATTCTTCCAAACTTATTAAAATGAAATTTAATTAGATATTTGCCCTTGAAGAGCAAAAACTAAATCTCATCAATGTATTGAGCAAAAAATGATCATAATTCTCCTATAACTTCCAAAATATTATCATCACTGGAAAAGTGGTTTCAACATGCTGTTTGAGCTCTGAGACTCCAAATTAACGGTGTATGATATGATAAATAACTCAATAGAGTTAATCATTCATTAAAGGCCTATAAACTTTTTGAGTTATACACTTGAAAACTAAGTGTTATACACAGATGCAATAGCAAACCAGACAATATAAATGCAAAATATTAAATCCATACCTCATGATAAAAGACGTGACAGACGGACAATCAGATAGAAGGACGGATAAACAAATGACTGGTGCACAAACAAACAATATAAAGTGGATCCCTTACAGTCGCTCTGAAAGTGAAATAACATATGGCCAACACATTGTGAATCATCGGATAAATTTAGTTGTGTCTTAACCCTTTAACCCCCAGAGACGCATTTGGACGCACTTTCACCATCACTGATATTAAACTGTTGGCGTTTTGTAAATAATTGAGATACAACAAAACAGTTGATATTTTCTTTAACTAGAGGAGAAACTGAACAATTTTGCTACACAAAGTTTTTCTTTTTGGTGTTAGGAAATTATCGTAAACCTGACGTGAATATTGCAAATCCTACCAGGAAGTTGAGAAAATTACGCATAAATGACTGATTTTGTGCTATTTTCTGTTGGCTTTATTTTAATTACAACACAGAGGAAAATAAAAATAAATGCAATAACCCAAAAGCTGGGAACTTTCCCTACATTTTTTATGATGTATTTTATAAGGTCCATGCATCCGTTACAGAGATATTTGTTGTTGAATATTGGATCTTTTACGAGTAAAACACTCAAAATGCACTATGACGTCATTTGACGTTTATAATGAAATTGTTCATGAACGCAATGTAAAACAAACCAATTCTTTTGCTTTTGATACTTGGAACAAATTTATTATTTTCAAAATGACTTATTCGTAAAGAAGATTGAATCTTCGACATGATCTGAGCCGTAAACGTAAAAAAAATCCCTAGATTTGGGAGAGATATTATGTACATGTAGTAATAATAGTCATTGGCTCAGCGCCCCGATTGCGCGTACCCATAGTCTCAGAAATCCCTGTCGAATTTATGTCATTCCTATACATGTACGCAGGAACAATTATTCAAATAATCAAATATCATCGTCAAATATCATTCTACATATCATTTACATGTTCATTGAAAAAAATACAAGACAGTTAGTATATTAATCTTTCCCTTCATTAACATTTTAAGTTATCTTTTTTAATACAAATGTTTTAAAATAAAGTACTATGAAAGAGAACTGGTTTTTATGAAGGTGACAGGATATACCAGTATATCGGAGATAGCCTTTATTTATTTTTTTATGATTTAACAATAAAAATGTATCAAAAGCATTCATAGTTATATTGAAAATAACCGGAAATACCAGGAGATTTTATTTTTTATTGTTGATGAGGAATATATTCTTATTTACCTACACAAATTACGTGGAAATGAGGCGATAATAAAATTCGGGAAACTTTCGTCTGAATTATTTCTCTTTCTGTTACCATAGTTATTACATGTATGTACACAGAAGGGAACAAAGCTTGACCGTCCATGTATCCATGTGGATCAATAAACGATTAAGATTCAGACATTTTCACTGCGACTTTGAATTAAAAAAAAATAAGAAAAAATGCGTTTTCATACACACACCCTCACCAGAGAGAGAGAGAGAGAGATATGTCGTCACCGAGTTGCACGAAACTCGTTTGTCTGAGTAAACCATAATGAGATGGAAAAGACACCCCCTCTAATAATTAAATGTATTCCCATTTTATTTCGCAGTACATTTTTTTACAGAACTGTAAAGCGTTCCTGGATCTATGATTCTGTATCTATTATGAATATATTTATGAAGACATAATGTACATGTGCAAGTGCGTTTTATATGTCACATATGAACTATAAATACAAGCGTTCGCAAGTTTGAGTACTGTGATTTGTAATCAATACTAGTATCTCAAGCCATGATCTTTCGTCCATTTTCTGCCTCTATGATCATTTAATTTTAAAAAATAAATTTCAGATATTGACCACAGCAATAAGGTTTGATAAATTCCTTTTATTTTCTGCATACAGTTGTTTTTTTTGCGAATGTTATTAGTATTTAGGCCCAGTTAAGCCTTTGATTTGGCACTAAATTTGACTAAGGGATGTTGAGTCTATACCTGATCAATATATAGGGCTCACCGTGTGACCGGTTCGAAGGGAATGCTTACTCCTCCTATAGGGACCTAATCCCATCCCTGGATTTCCGAGAGTTCTGTGATTTTTCCTGGTCACAAATTTGTATTGTATACTTGTAATTTCTATTGCATTTTAGATTATTTTGAGTCAATGACTGATCGTTGTCTACCAGTAAATAGATCCAACACTCCTGATAATACATGTATGTCGTTATAATTAAATCAAGATTCAAAAATTTTACACCCTGCTATACTCTAACCAAGTGCAACAGTTTTTTATTTAATTTAACACTAAGTATAATTATTTTTTTTTCCAATTCCTTTGGGATGGCGAGGAGGGGGGGGGGGGGTTAACAGAATAAATGACATTACGTCTTTGTCTATAACATACTTCCAGGATTTTTTGCAGCCAACACAGAGTTCAAAAAACAAGGCTTTATCAAACTTGATCAAATGAAAAAAAAACTTGGGATTAAAAAAAAATACCTTCATTGAATAGTCTTTTACAAATTAGCCGGGATTACAAGTATGTGCATTGATGAAGCTGAAAAAGTTTATTATACTGTTATAAAAAATAAATAAAACCGACCAATATGTAAAATATTTGTCAGTTAATCGCACGAAAATTAGTAAAATGCACTATTGAATTATATCAAAGTTGCCTTTTTGTTTTTAAAACAATGTGGAAATAAGTTGATAAAAGTTTAATCAAACGTATACGGAAATTATGCCTAACAGTGCTTTACAATTTTGTAAAAATTGTGTTTTTCACAACAGAAATCAACGAAAAATATCTTTAAAATCCTCATTTCAGCAATAATGAATTGTTATTCAACAAATTCATTCCAAAACTTTTGTAGATTCACAGGGGGAGGGGGGCTCTTTGCAGAAAAATATATGTATATTTTAATTTCCATTTGTTAAACATAATATGGGAAAAAAATAAAGGATCATCTATCCATATCCATAAGATTTTTGAAATTTGAGTACTATTTTAAAGTCTACTGACGTTTCAATGGTTGAACATCTTTTAGCCCCCTAATAAAAAGAGTTATAATTAAGAGCAATTAACAATTTTACACGGTATTAATACATAAATTCCAAGGTCAAGTTCAAATTCAATTTACTCAAACCAATTAATGGTACATGAGGTTCTACAATGTATGTACAATACATACAAGGAAAACAATTTACAAGTTACACGTGAAATGGCGGAAATTCATTCACATTATAAAGTAACCAAAAAAAAAAATGATGGAGGACTGACTTTTTCTTATACTCTATTTATGTATTTGTATAGTTTAATTAATACTTTAGAGGCTGCAGATGACAACAATTCTGAAAATTTGAAAAAAAAATTAACATATTACAACATTTATTAGGTAGATATTTTTTTCAGCATTCTGAAAAAAATTGACATTCTAAAATGTAGTGATATTCATCAGCTATTTGTCCATTATTACAAAGATTACATAGTCTATCATTTTTTGGAATTCCAAACCATCTCCCTGTCTCAACTGGAAGGCGATGATTTGCTGTTCTTAATTAAATTAAAATTGTTCAATTTTTGGGGGGTAGTAAGTCTAAATACTTTTCAAATCCAAATACTGTTTTGAAGATCTATACATAAGACCTTCAGTCGAATCGCTAGTAAACACGTTTGCAATAAAAAAAAATGATGTCAGAATTCTCTTTTTAATAAACTAATAGGTGTTAAATGTAGGATGGAATCGAAAGGCAGTGTGCGTAGTTCTTTTACATTGCCCTATGGCCGTTTTCTAAAACTTATTGAACTAGTGATATTGTATGTTTGAGTTCAGATTGTTGGGAATTCTCGGAGTCAGTTTGCTGGAATCTGCATGCAAGAAATTTTATTCTATGATAAAACGCTAGTAAATGGGAGGGGAGGGGGGTTGATGTTGAAAACGACTTTGCATTACACATGTACATTTAAAACACGTGGAACTGATCACAATACCTATCGCACCTTGATAAGAAGGTTTTGGGTTCGAATCTTGGCTGCGACTGACCTGAGTCGACATAAAATGGGTACCAACTGTTCCTTCGTGATGTGCGCGGCGTTGGCGCGATAAAGATCACGATAAAGATGGCCATGAGTGCCGAGTAAAGATCAAAAGTCAAAATTTGAAGCCCTTCGTCAGTACATGTGTATGGTGAAGTCTCTACATGAGTGAAAAATTTTCGATATATAAAAGAACATACAATCAACCAATCTAAGTAAATTTTTGTAACTTTATTTGTTATTTCAGTGTGCGGCATGATATTGAATACGCGGTATAGTTTCCCATATTTTGTTGATATCGTAACAATCCTTAAGATGTCCCCTTCTCAAATTTCCAATTTTTGTTACCATGGCAACACTTTTCATTGAAATAAAAATACTAAAATAAAGAATAGGGTATGTAAGTGTTCTCTATGAGATGTACCAAAAATTATTGAAATCAATCAAAAACTGTAAAAGGGATAGCGATTTGAAAATTGCTTACTACAATCAGACAGCTGCACAATGCCACAAGGCCTTACCATGCTTATGGATGACGGACATTATGTAATTGTCAAACCCTCTCTTTAAAATAAAATTGACTAGTATAATTTAAAACTGATTGACAATATGCTTTGTTTTAATAGTATAACTAAATTTTCTGTTATGGAAGTGTTATATGTAAATTTGATTGCATATCTGGGAAGTAAAAAGGAGAAAAACAGATATTTTGGCAATTATGGGCCTTATTCGTTGCCATGGCAACCGCGATGTCATTTTACTCTACGTAATTAAATACTTTAGTATTTTACCTTTCAGAAAATATATAGGTTGCTTTACGTAAAAGTGACTAGAAAATGTCTAAATTTCTATTCGAACTTTTTTAGTCAATTTTGCAGTAAAACGCAAAATCTCTGGTAGTAAAAGGGTTAAAACAAACCAAAACCAGGTATCTTTTATATTGTACACATATTTTTAAAATCACTGTACACAATTCAACTATAAACAAAAAAAAATCATGCAGCTAAGAGATACAGGTACTACGAATTATCCAATAAATTTGCAAAACCTTCATCATACGTAAGTTTGAAAACATTGATTTCAGCATTTAATATTTGTATGTAAAAGACTCTTATAAACACACCGAGAGTATTTGCTGGAACATGTATAAGGTAAATTGACCTTGATGCAACACAATGATATCAATTACACTCTCTCTATATATTTAGTAGAATTTTCTCTATATAACATGAAAAACTATGTTAATAGAGACTATAATTATGCAATTGTAAACATCAATAAAATAAAAAGGGTCCTCATTCTCACTTGAACAATAAAAATCTGTTTTAATGTAGTGAGTTTTACGCCATAAAAATGAGCCTCATTTTTATCTTTCCATCTACATGTATTTGTATGTTTGTATTTTTGCAAATTAAAAATTTTCCATTTTAATAATTTCTAGAAGTAACATCCAATTTACTTGTTAAAACGTGCGGGGTTTTTGATGAATATTTATTTTAAATTTTATATAAAACAAATAAAAAACTGCATTAATACGTTCAGCGGTATCCAATTCCAAAATCTGAAAAATCTAAAGTTTTCGCTTCAGTCATTTTCTAATAATCTACATTCTTTTCAATCTGTAAGAATTAATCAGAACTTTTCAACAATTAACTTTTTTTCAATTTTTATTTCATAGTTTGTTCTATAAATGTTTTCAAAGTGTAACATTGAACTCCTGTTTCTTCTTTTGTAACGATTTCTTCGTGTTAAAAATCAACCCTTTTAATAAATTTCGTTATAAAGTCAATATATAAGAGATCCATTATCACTTATGTTAAGTTTAAAAAATGGGAAAAAAGAGTGAATAAAAACTGCATTATATTGAATATAATCATATGAAACTGAACATGAAATAAAATTAAGTAAAAGATGAAATAAAAAAATATCTATGAGCTACATATATTTATCTTGCATTCGTGAACGAACACAGAAAAAATGCCCATTTACTTAAAACGAGACAAAATCTAACAAGGTATATATACACACTCTGTAAAATGACTTATATTTGCATCAGTCTGGATATTTCAGTTTATGTTGTTGATATTTCATTCGACTATGCAATTGATTTTAACTCAAGAACGGTAAAAGTATTATTATCAAGAGCTTAGAATAAATCTATAGTTAAGATTTCATATACTAAAACTATAGAAATGTTTATGAGACAACAGGCCTTTATAGAAAAATACTAAAATATTTTGAAATGGTAATTATTATGTTCATTAAAATGTATGAAAATACAACCTCTAGTTTGTCAAGAAGCTAAACCAAGGAGAGTTTTTTTTTTATCACATTATCTTCAATTTAAAAATAAAATCGTAGTCTAAAATAAAAAACTTTTATATATTGTTAGACTGATTACACATGTAATAATAATATTTTAAACTCTATCAATGATGAAAAATTTGTTCTATTGAGAAAATGTATTTCACACTTAAATCTTCTTTACTTATTTTAATAACTAATTTTCTAATTTCCATACAGAAAAGAAAAAAATGTTTAATACTATTTTAAAAACATTGCATTGTTTATTTTTCTAATTTAAGCAATATGATCGTCATTTAAAACATAAATAATCACTCTGAATTATATAAAAAAAGATATAAAGGTTTTTTTAATATGTTCCCCCCCAACATTTATAATATCTATGGTCTAAACCTTACCTCTGTCTTAAGCTACAAATATGAAACGCAGCAGGTGTGGCACGATAAAGATCCCTCCCTGCTCAAAGGCCTTAAGTGCCGAGCATAGGCCTAAATTTGCAGCCCTTCACTGGCAACGGTGACGTCTCCATATCAGTGAAATATTCTGGAGAGGGCGTTAAACAGTATACAATCAATTAATCACTTTAAAAATATATTGAATGTTAATAAACGCAAGTGAAGCAGACAAAGAGATCATGACGTTATAAGAGACGTAATTTACGCTTGCTTTCGTGCACCGGTGTACACCAACATTCTTTCTTCATTTTTACATAATTTTCCTATTAGATGTGATATCATCATGAAACTTGAAATGCATGATCACAAATTGCTACTTTTTTGCCATGACAAGGAATGAAATTTAATTAAGCAAAGAAAATCTTAACTGTTTTCCCTGTCTACGACTTCATTGGACAACCCTCGTACCTTTAGCAGTTTAAATTTCCTGGCGATAGTCCACGAACTTTCTGATAACTGATATCAAAAGTTTTATAATAATAAGTAGATGGAAGTACAACGTGTTTCATGTAGAGTTCATAAATTGCATTGCAGAATTACCCCAAACTTGTTCTGGTGATATCATGAAGCAACAATCGTGCTTTAATGCTTTTTTTGTCAAATTAGAATTTCTCACTTTTTTGGCAGAAAAATGCCCTAAATAAGATTACTTAGTTCGTCATTTTAAAAAAAAACTTTTTTCTCCTAAAATTACCAGCAGAATATATTCAGTCAGAGATGCTTAATCATCAGAATACGGGATACAGTTGCACTTTGTTTTGGGGAATTGTCAGCTCCGACCGATGAAATATATTTGAAATTCATAATACACATATAATGAAAATTATTCAATTAATGGTTGTTAATATGCATAATTCTTAATCTATGTACGTATATGGTACATTTGAGTAGTTTATGCATGTGAGTAAATGAAGAAGGTTGAAGAAGGTTGATTTAAAAAGAAAAAAGAAGAGACATTTATTGTGAATCATCAATTTACTTTGATATACATTTCAAAATAATAAAAAAACGTGTATTTAAAAAAAAAAAACATATTTGCGCTTTGCTGTGTTATGATGGACAATTAAAGTCATATCTAACTTAAGTCAAGATACAGTAAATAATTTGAGACTATTTTTTGGTGCTAGATCCGTTATGTCGTCATAATCAATGTCAACTTTCTTTTTTCCCGTACTTTACGCTTCAGCAGAATTATGTAGAAAATAGGGTATTTTCATGCCATTCAATCTGAAATCATATGAAAAGTAAACCGGATACTTATATCAAATTTGATATTGATTTAAGGAATAGGCCATGAACATACTAATTACCGTTTTCTGAGAGTGTAGGCAATCTGGATACATTTCCTTTGCCAAATACAAAAAACTCCAATATTCCCGACTGGTTTTCTTAATTTTTCATTGAAAATGACAGTTAAAAATAAAGTTTTTATCTTGTTTACCTACAAATTATGCCAAAACACCTTATTTGACCAAGCTAAAGTTTTAAAGCATCAATAAAGTAATTTATTTCTCAAGTTCGATATATCTGTAGGCACCCTTCACTTACTAGATCTTGACTTTAAAATAGGATGTACACACTTTTTAATTTTTAAATAACAGAACATGTACATTTTAAAATAATAAAAAAGTGTATTTTTAATAAAAGACCATATTTGCATTTTACTGTGCAGTGATGGACAATTAAAGTCATATGTAACTTAAAACAAGATGTACACACTTTTAAATTAACAGAACATGTGTTACTATTCAAACAAACTGCTATATGAAGGAGGGGGCACATTTGGACAATCTTCAAATTTAAAACCATCAACTAAGAAATTTGAGGATTCAGTTAAATCAGCAGTTACAATATGACATTCCCCCTGATCTGTATTTTCAGAATGTGGAGTGGATATCGGTGCATTTCTGGGTTCTTCTCTAAAGCTATTTAGGTCAAAATTTTCTGTAGATGATGATCTGTGCATAGCAGTATCTAACGATGTTTGCGTCGTGAAGTGGATCCCTCTATGTCTAGATGCATGATATCCTAAAATACAAATGTATATATGAAAAAATATAATATATTTAATTCTCTCATAGTTATTTCTTCTTCCAAAAATAAAGCTTTTCTGATGCAAATATTCTGTAAAATGCATGCCATCTAACAATGCCCGTGACATATGGATATTTGATTGCGCATACCAAATGGATACTTGGCTAAGTAAAAGTATAAATGTAGAAAAATTATCTTTTGATATTCTTTCATAATGGCCTTTCCAATTTTCGTTTTAATTTCAATTACCCTGTAAATGACATACCATGTAAACTATTATCTAATAATGTAGGGACAATTCTGTTAGATTTGAATGATCTAGCTATTAAATAATCTAAAACATGTAAATGTAATATGAACCATATCCTCTCTAATTTTTTGATAACATTAATAATGATATCAGAACATTTTGCTGTCATTAACACATTATAGAGCCACATTTCTCCAGAAAGAATTATATGTGAAGAGAAGAAACATTTATCATGCTCAAATTCAACTTGAATAAGACAGGGCAAATGTGAACCTCTAAAATATTTTAGGTGGGATTAAGTGTCATGGAAAGTGAGTATCTAAATTTCATGAAAATCAAAGGCATTGACGTTTCCAAAATTGCATGCTCTGTCATCTTGAGGAAAAATTATATAACATAATACATATTGAATAAATTATGTTTATTCAATGTGAACACACTTACACTATGTATGCTTTTCAGAATGTATTTGATCATGAAATTATACATAAAATATCTTTTTAAAAAGTTTGAAACGAACACACGATAAATGATTAAGAGAAAACTAAAAGCAATTAAATTCATGCACATGTACGAGGGTTGTTAGAAAAGTTCGCGGACACATTGAATTACAGAAAATCTATTGTGTACTGTTAAGTATGACCTATGTCTGAATAAATTCCTACATTTTGTTAATTGGTATGTAAATAACCAGGTCCATATAAATCTTGAAGTTTTACAAGTATATTTATTATGGGGTCATTGGATTCACGGAGCAAACACTTGATGTAAGCGACCTGGCAACCAGATTTCAACCCGTTAGGCTTTGTCGCAGATCTATAAATCTTTCATTTCTTAGAATTTTCTTATCTTTATTCTACTTTAAAATTGAATATCTATCTCAAGACATTTTACTTTTCTACAATAACTGATTCGGATATAATTAAGATCTTAAAAAATAAAAAAAAGTGTATGAAGTTAATCGATTAGGTATAGAAACTTTGCAAATCCATAAAGCGGCAACGTCCATGATGCAATAAGGGGGTATTGAAGTATCGATGGAGTTAATCATTCAAAATATCGGACAGTCCCTCCTTCCATTCTTATGAAGCTATAACCATTTGAAAACTTGTTCTTTATATGTGTAGGAAATTCCCGGCAACATCTTGAAAATTTTAATCTCTTTTTAGACATTTTCCTGTCTGCACACATAATTTTTACGTAGTGCAGTGCTCCATGACGTTCAATGACGTTCCGATTTTTGGCTGTGTTTTTACGCGTTGATAATTTATAAACGGCTACATAAAAGTCATATACCCTCCAATTTATTTCAAAATTTCTCCCAGTAACATTTTCTGTATACTTTAGCGGCAGGTAAAATGTCATAAATCTCTTTGCAATACAATTGTGCAATTTTTAATTTTAATAGAGTCTTTATGATGTAAACGAGCCAAACGTAGCGTGCTCCGTGAAGCAAGTTTTATCAAAATGCTGTATATTTTTGAATAATCATCGGAGAATACCAAATTCTTGTATATTTGTTGGAAAAAAAGGTTAAGATTTTATCTGGAATGTTTGACCGGTTTCCTTGAAATATCGCGCTCATTATAGAACTTGTCCGCGAACTTTTCTAACACGCCTCGTATTAGAAAAATATTATAAGTATATTAAATACGAAAAAAAAATAAATAAAAAATAAACGTGATATAAAAGTCTACAAAGTAAATTGCGTTTGACAAATACCATTCATAAAAATAAAAAAATAAAAACAAACATCGTGAAAAATTATTTCCTTAGGTTTATGATAGTGTTCAGAAACTGAATTAAATACCTGACAATGTACTATTACTTCGGTAGGACCTTGTCTGCAATCCTCTGTCGCAACAATTCTTTTTACAACAAACTCTGATGATTATTAAAAGTATTCCATGTACCACAATGATGAAAACGATTAATATGATGAAAAAAGTTGTAACCCTAGAAAATACAATTCTTGTCAGAATAGTAAAATGTGATATGATAAATGATAGACATAACCGATTTCCTTTGCTATAATTTATTTCCTGTTTCAATTCTTTGAAAAATAGCAGCTGTTTTTCTTGTTAGAGAGAGAGAGAGAGAGAGAGAGGGAGATATTTACCAATCTTCCATCAATAGTTTTATTTGCAGTGTAAACAAAATTATATGTTGGTTTTACTGACGTCTGTTATATATTTCATACAAAGTAATCTACAAGAGAATGGAGAGAGCAACACTTTAATTCTAGTTGATATAGGACACGTATCTAAAATGACAGTGATGCTAAACTTAGAAAAAAAAAGATAAATATTGTTTTTATATCATGAAGATTCTTCACAAAATAATATAAAATTCACGAAAATAAAAGTTAGCATGCTTATTTAGGGAATCAACATTGTATGTACCTTTGGAAAAGGAAGGGTCGAATGCACCCAAGAATTGAAAGGTTGACCATTTTAGTGCACCGTGTGAAGTAATAATCTACAAGAGACTCTCTTAATTTAAAGAAATTCATCATATCAAATTTAAATGCAAGGGGTTTAAAAATCAAGTTATTCTCTGAATACTACTTTAGGTTATATTATTCTATTTACCATCGTACTCCAACATTTTCGGGGCTCTTTCCTAAACCATGAGACGTAAGGATATACAAGGATAGACATATTTGCTAATATGGTCATTATAACGACCACGTACTTACTAAATGCTGATGTGTTTGTTGAAATATCTTTATGTTCAACTAATGTGTAAGTAGTTTGCCTATGTTAAAAAAAAATGATTGATCTCAGAGTATACTCTTGAAAAGCAAATATAATTGGGCACATAAACACAACTTTCATGTGATAGCGTACTATAACTACATAGATAAGGAAAGTTGACGAAGAAAAACCTTCAGTCATCTCGTTTAATATACAATGTAGTTGACCTTTTTCTTTAGTAGGGTAGACTACTCAGTAGAGTATCCAAATATACCGTTCATGTGGCAGACTCTGTGGTGTCCTTTCATTATTGGTAATTAAATTACTTTCCCTACTTTGTATATCAGATACAGCGACTATTATTACAAATTACTATAAAAACCAATATAAAATTAAAGTTTTTAAGACAACACTATAAACAAGATTGATTGATTGATTGATTGTATACTGTTGAACGTCCCTCTCCACAATATTTCACTGATATTGAGACGTCACCATTGCCGGTGAAGGGTTGCAAATTTAGGCCTATGCTCTGAACACAGGGCCATTGAGCAGGGAGGGATCTTTATCGTGCCACACCTGCTGTGACACGGGGCCTCGGTTTATACGGTCTCATCCCATGGACCGCCCCATTTAGTCGCCTTTTACGACAAGCAAGGGAGTACCGAGGACTTATTCTGTCCCGGATCCCCACGGGGCTCTATAACCAAGACATAGTACTTACATGTATACGTTTCCTTTTTCGCTCACCTATATCTGCTAAAGTGCAACGTAAAACCTTATATAATACATTTATCATATAAAATTATTTTTAAAATGGAGAAAGTTTTCACTAAAAATTAGGGGGAAATATTACTTTTTGTCAGTCGTATCTAAAATATAATACAACATACACATGTATGGCAAAGGAAGCTTCCTGATATCAGATGTCAAATTAAAAATAAAAAGATTCTTTTGAAAACAGGAAAAAATAAAGCTTACAATCAATTTTAAATCAAATCAAATTGTGAGTACATGTACACCTTTGTCCAATTCGCTACAATATTTGTTTTTATTTCCACATTTCAGCTTTCAAATAATAATATATTTATATAATCATCGTGGATTTTTCTTTAACATTTACTCACTGATTCCTTCACCTCATTCACCTAGCTACAATATTCTTACATATTACTGTATAGCTCTAACAAAATATTGAAAGAATGTGAGGTTTCTATTAGAGATGCATTTGAAGGTATATTTTTTTTCGATTCAATGTCTTCTGCTTTAAGGTACCTGTAAAGTGCGAAATAGAAACGAAACCTATCGAAACGAAACGAGATCAAAATGAAACCTCCCGAAACGAAACAAAACTATCAAATTGTTTTTCAAATCAAGGTATAAAATTTTATAGGTGTAATTACATATAGGATTTTTTTACTTCCAAAAAAAATTATATAGTTCAAGCACTTGTTAAGATAAAATCTAAACACCGATAAATTATGCTCCCTTTTCTAGTTATGTATAAAGTATGAACTGTTGCCAGCTGCAAATATGCGTTAGCATACTATGCATGTATTATTTCAATATGTGTAGCATTTTTGTTAATTTCTAGGTCTTACTCTTATTTTCAGCCCTTATTCATCTAAATACATCATATTATCTATCAAATTAGATGTATTACATCTAAAGGCTCGTTTATGTTCGGGTCGAAATAAACTAACTGTACTGTTGTATTTCGAATTCTTTAAACATAGGATAAAACCAGAGACTTCCGAGTGTTCAATCCAGAGGTTTCTGGTTATATCGTTCACTTATAACCCCAAATGGAAGCTTGTGTATACCATCTACGTATACGGTCCTATTTATCGAGGTAATTTTGGAAGAATAAATGAGTGGTTTACAAATTAGGAGACTCGACCAAAGACGTCTAAAAGAATTTAATTGACAAGAAAAAGTTTTTCGAGGCAAACTATGCCATTTTGATAGTTATATAATTAGTTCAATGATTGATATATTAACAAAATATATGAGCTTGACATGTGGGTGCTTGAGTTAGATACCATGTGGTTAAAATAAGAAGGGGTGCCGTGCCCCGTATACGAAACAAGTGTCTGTACTTTAACTGTATAAATTTCAAAAAGAGTAAAAAAAGGCCATATGCAGTTTATATATATCTATATGTACAGCTGTATATACCTTGATTTGAAAAAAAAACATTCTGAAAGTTTAGTTTCGTTTCGGCAGGTTTCGTTTTGATTTTGCTTCGTTTCATCTTGATTTCGGTTCCTTTCGGTGGGTTTTGTTTTGTTTCCGTAGATTTCGTTTCGTTTCGGTAGATTTCGTTTCCATTTCGTTTCGTTTCTATTTTGTTTCGCCCTTTACAGGTACCCTTTGTTTCAAAATGTTCTATGAAAAACTTTAAAACGTGTGGCATTTTAAAAACAAATTCGCCAGTAATCATACTGAACAGAGCTTCTTTATCAAACTTGGGAAAATCTCAACTAAAATTTTTTAATGTTGTGTACGGAAAAGAATGTAATCTGTGTGGACTTTTTTATGTTGGTGAAATCAAGGGATCACTTAATAAAAGAATATTAGGTCATCGATTGAAATTAAATCATGGGTGTCAGCAGCTTTTATACGAACATTACAATTAATCCGATCATTCTATTTTGTCAATGAAAATTAAAATTCTCGAAAAAAAAATAAAAGTACACCTTTCCTTAGATAACGTCGCAAACAAGAGGAATTTTAGATTAGAAAACTAGGGACAGCATTTCCCTATGAATGCAATGACAATGACGATAGTGTTGGAAATCTTTCCAGTCCCTAGGGTAAAATGTAAATGTGACGGGACTTTTTAACCATACACAGAGACGTAAGCGTAGTCAAGTGTCTACATCATATTTGCACCAAACTTTTTCCGTCCATTTGAATCTTTCAAATAGTGTTCTTAAAATAATCAGGGAATGCCTATATCTTGATTCTTCCACACCAGAATCAAGGATCGGATGTTTTATTATGGATATTGCAAATTATAGACTTTTTAACCCCCCACGTTTCACTAAGAAAATCCAGCCAACACGGTACGCCTTTTCCTTAAACTTCAATATATCCCAATAAAGGAATTAACGCAATTAATATGAGTTATATTTTTAATCACAAAAGGCTCTAGTCTTCTATTCCACCATATTACAATTTAAATTTAAAGATCTTTCATTTTCTACAAATATACATCGACTATTCCTTCCAAACTATTCAACTGCAAGAAAACTTTACATAGCCTCGATATTGAGTATCTGAAACATAATCCTCCATGCTGTTCATGTTCTTCCTCACCCTATAACTATAGCCCTGCTAAACACGATATTACAGGTGACGTAAATATAGTTACATGTACTAACGAGGACATTAGATTACTTATTTTGAAATGTCCCAAATAAAGGGAACCTCAATCCTTCAACTGGCGTCGGAATTTCATAAATATTGTGGATTTTTGTTGACAATTACGCCAGGTGATGGACTAGATACAAAAAAGACGTTTACTCTTTCACAAAATGAATTAAATGCATCAGATACATGTTAAAATCACGTATCAAAACATTGAAGGGCAACATGAAAACCATCTTTCCCTCTGTTTCAAACATCCAGAAGTAAAAAAAAAAAGAATTAGATTACATGATCAATACGTACGAGTCCCTGCTGACAAAGTAGTTAATAACATTGTCTTCGTTGTTAAATCTCATTATATAAATTATTTTAAAAGAACTTGGATTAAATACTACCAGTGGCATTTTCCTTTACTCCTAATTAAGGAAGTCCGATCCTCAGGTTTATATATTAGCAGTTAAGTAATCAAAAATACGCATAAAAGTTTCTCTGAATCCACAAGGTTATGTAAATTTGTCCACAGTATTTCTTTAAAGTTAATGATTAAAGTTAATCATACTATATAGGGAAAATTGTCAAATCTCAAATATTTTTGCAGAAAAGGCCAATTGTAATATGATCAATGCATTTTTTTAATTACAAATTGATCAACAAATATATTTTAGGTTTGAAAATGATAGGTATCCAGGCATTCAGAGATATTGTCATGATTTTTTATACTTATTTGGTACTTTCTGTCTTCTATTTTTGTCATGTTTACTATTATACATAGTGTAAAAGGCTTTTGTTATCATTGCAAGACATCACAAATCACTTATCATTTCATATAATGCTAAGAAGCATTGCTAATAAGCTAATAAGCATTGATATCTAAGGCTGGATTCAAGAAAATCTTATTTCTCTAAAACTGTATTAATTTTTCTCCTTTTATAGGGTACAAATGTCAACTTTTATAGGACCTTTTCTAAAACTTCCAAAGAGCTTAAATCTAATAAAGATAAATAAAATGAAAATTGTTGCATGAAAAAATTTAATTTTCAAGCTTCATTTAGTTGCATTTCAATTTAAATATCAATTTTTGGAGTTATCCTTCCTGGCTGAGGATCGGATATCCTTAAGATATTAACAGTAGTGTAGAAGAAACTTCAAGAGTACTGTGCAACGACATGTCCAAGAAGTGGTGTAAATCAAACAAGGGTGCTTAAAAATTCAAAGATTATTTTGGACAATTTGAAATAACAATATTTCACCAAAGTTAACAGCTTTTAAAACTTATGACTTTTCAATTTCATTCACATTAATTCCAAACAATAAATGAAAGCTCTTGTTTTTTGATATCATTGACTGCTTTTTCAATAAAAATGGAATTCATAAAGAACTATATGCGGTATATTGCATATACTTGCCCCCAGAAAAGTTACATTTTGAAAACGTCATGAAATGTGCTGAATTCAATAAATTGTATGAGAAATATAAATTAACAGAACATATTATAGTTTCAAAGCAGTTTTTTCACAATTTTTGTTTTTATGACGTCACAAACTAGTCCAATTTTAGAAATTTTTTCAGAAAGAGGACAAATTGGACAAAATTTCAACAGTTTTAGCTTTTAAATTTATAGAGCGCATGTGTGTTCAGGAATTATATTTACATATTTCATTGATATTATCATTCTACACATTATATCAAAATATTGATCCTGAACACACATGCGCTCGGTGACTTTTACTCAAAATATCGACGAAATATGTACATTTTTCTGTAGAATTCATTAAAAACTGAAATTTACGTCATGTTTATGACGTCATTACGTACATATGACGTCATTACTTATGAAAATATTCAGTGCTTTGAAGTCAGCATATACTCCCCTGTTTAAGAACTTAATTAAGTATACCTCCATCAAAGTTTGATTTGGGGGGCAAATATTGGTTATTACCGAATAAAGTTCTTTACTTACCTTGCCATTGGTCATTTGCGAAATTATCTTCTTAAAATATTCTGTCTGTACTCAAAAAGATGTTCGAGTTTCTAATAGAGAACACCAAACACTTAAGGAACGAATACCGGTTTAACGAAGGTAAACTTGTTTACATTGTGATTACCTGTGTAACTGACGAAACGTACGGACGAATCACACGCATAGAAAAATTTTAATTATTTGTCAATTTGGTAAGTACAATCGCCTTGGTGTTCCACGTACGAATATGATATAAATATAGGACTTTTACGAGGAGCGCTGATTTTTACAGTTTACTGCTTACTTTTACACTAGGAAAATGTACGGAAGCTCTTTTACGATATGAATTTTTAGCTCAACATTTAATTAAACGAAAATAACAGGTAATTTCAATGCTTATATAAGTTGTCCTTGAAGAAAACGACAACCAACTTACCTTTAACTCTCGACATTTTCATGCAAATGCCCCCAAGAAAATTTTTATGACCATTAGAAAAG